AGTAGGGCGGCTCGGCTACTGGGCAGCTGGGCGGCTCGGCTGCGGTGCGGCTCGGCGGTCCGGTGGCTCGACTGTACGGCGGCTCGGCTGCTGGGCGGCTCAGCTGCAGGGCGGCTCGGCTGCTGGGAGGCTCGCCTGCAGGGCTGCTGGGCGGCTCGGCGGCCGGCTGTCCGGCTGCTCGGTTGCCCTGGCGGCTCGACGGTGCTGCTGCAGGGCGGCGCGGCGGTCGGCTGCTCGGCTTGGTGGGGCGGGTCGGGAAGCCCGGGTGGCGGACGGCGCTGCAGCAGGTGACGGGGCTGCAGATGAGAGCGGCGGGGCCGCCAACGAGAGGGGCGGGGCCGCAGGTGAAAGCGGCGGGGCCGCAGGTGAGAGCGGCGGGGCCGCAGCAGAGGGCGGCGGGGCCGCAGAGAAGGGCGGCGGGGCCGCAGTTTAGGGCGGCGGGGCCGCAGTTGAGGGCGGCGGGCTGCAGGAGAAGGGCGGCGACGGGCCGCTTGTGAAAGGGCGGCGCGACGCGGCCGTTAGGGCTGCGCGACGCGGCCGTAAGGGCGGCGCGACGGGCCGCTAAGGGCGACGCGACGGGCCGCTAAGGGCGACGCGACGGGCCGCTAAGGAGGGCGCGACCCTAGGCGCGCTTCGGGCAGGGGCAGGACGCGCCCCGTGCAGGAAAAAAAAAGGGAGGATCGGTGGGCCCTAGGAACAGTTCCCACGAGGGAACCTGCTGGATACCATGTGAAAATGAGAACGAGAATGAATGAACTATGAGTGAAGTGGGTACAAGTACTAACCCCAATTGGGTTGTACCCCCTATGGGATACCCCACTATAGCCTACACAAAAGCATAAGCTATAATGTCATGACAGCGCTCCCTCCAGTCCCTCTCTCTCCGCGACATGTTTCTCAGCGCGCTGTCCATCCTGCGCCAACTCGCCGTCGCCACCGCCAACAACCTGCGCCAACAACCTGCTACTCTCCGCGCCTCACTCCAACCGGCTCGCGTCGATCGACTTCCGTGCGGGCTCACTGAATTGGCCTGCCACCGAAACCCTAATTTCGTCCAATTTGGCTCTGCTCGAGTCGCTCTCCCTCGATTGTTTTGCCACCAGCGACGCACCTGGCCTGCCCTTGGTTTCGTTGCTGCCCTGGCTCGCGCGGAACTGCCCGGGGTTGAAAAGCTTGCGGTTGGGTGCACTGGCTTGGCCGAATATGGTTGACTCAGCTGGAGTGTCGGGGCTTCTACAGTCACAATGGCAAACTGATACAGATGGTACACTTTATAATGGCTATTTATGGCCTCAGTTAGAAGCCTTTACAGTGAGAATCGCTGAAAGGGCATCCGAAGGCCTGCTTCTGCTTCATTTGATACTCTCTAACACCCCCACACTAGCGGGTCTTTATGTGACTGTAGAGGGGGAAGAGGAGGACGACGAAGAAGAGGAAATAGATATGGATGGATTGTGATGCTACAAGCATATATGAGCTTGAGGAGGAAGATCAGGGGGGATACTACACTGAGGGGGAGACAAATTACTTCTCAGATTCGTCTATTCCACTTTGTGCCGCACCTGCCTTGTTTCGTCTAATTGAGCCTGACACTGCACTAGCCAGATTAACTCAGCCGGTCGGTTACTGCTTAGCACTGACTCCAGCAGAGAGACAGCACCAGCTGTTTATGAAGGGCCTCGACTGCCTTCAGAGGCGGTTTGGATGCTTCTACGTAACCTCCCATTTGCTTCACAGGATGAAGGTTTATTGAAGCTGAGAAGAGCTGGAGGCCACCATTCTGTGATTTTGATGTTTGTCAAGTGCCAATCACAGTACAACTTGTTTAGAGCTGGCTGGCATACGGCTCCCAAATCAATGCTGTAGGTACCATATCAGTTGGCGAATATAAAAATAGCTTCTGCCCTGGACACGAAGCGCAATCTTTATGTGAGTCACCTTATACTGAGGTATTGTTGCACTGAGGTAGTTTTGCACGCATTCAATGCACACAAAAAATCCCCAACTCTGGTGACATGCTGGTCAGGTTTTGACGCGCTTCGAGCTCTCAAATGCCTGTCAACCGTTCAGTTTTTTTCTTTCGTGTTCCAAGTGGCGTTTCCGCATTCCACGGCGCACAATTCTTGCCAAATTGCGAAGGGAAATGCGGCTCGTGGCAGAATCCTACGGCAGATTATGTCTACGTACAACCTGACCTAGCCCAAGCCATTCAGCGCCAATTCCATTGGACTAGAGAAATTGAGGGCCAATTCCATTGGCTGCTTTGATGTACCTCAATCGGCACACAACGAACGAACGTACTGTACAGTACCACACCAACCGCAGAGAGGTGTGAAGGACGGAAAAGGGCCAGCAGAGACGTTATTCCGCGCCTCATGAACAGAGCTGTCGATATCCCTGGGGGCAGAACTTGAGCCCCCCAGCTGCTGAAATTCTGACCCTGATTTTCAGGGAGGTGACCAAATTTTCGCCCTTAACCGTCACGGGTGCAGGCCGAAGTGTAAACTTGAAATCCGGGCTGCAATGTGTTGTGTACTTACTAACCTAAACAACATCATAGACAGGAAAATCACATACTTCTCACTACTAACTACTCCAGTCAACCTGTATGTCACAACTTCCAACTACAACTTTGCACTACCTACTGCATTTCTACTCATCTCCTGACTTCGACACAACACACACACTAGATTGGATAAAAATCGAGAGAAACATCCTCCACCTGTCGCCCTATTGTGCAACTTTCATGGAGAGGGGGGGTAGGGGAGGGGGGTGTTCCGCAAGATTTTAGGGGGTGGTCTGCGGAACCGAAAGTAGAACTTAGATTCAGGGGACGGCCCATATTGAGCACTTAACGCATCAGGGGAAGGGCCAAACGATGCCCTTAACAGGCACGGGTGCCAGTGGAATCAAACCCTTAAAATGGTCGATCTGCGTCAAACATAACCCAGAATGTTCAGGGCATCAAGGGAAAATGCCTTTGAATCGACAGCCCTGCTCATGAACTAGCCCTTGTGAACTTGTTTTGTGCCGTTATTCCGCACCGTCACTCACACCGCACAAGGGCCAAACAGAAAAAACTCGAATCAGCTTCTACACCCTGTTTCTCACTACTATGAACTGTGCCGAACTGGTGGAAAACCTAGTTACCTTCGATTTGTCTGATTGAACCATACCGAGACTCAATCTAACCACTGTTAACCGTGCTTTTCCCATCTTGACTTCACTAAAACCGGATTCACAATGGCGAGAAAGAGGGTGTAACAGCTGTCAGTACTAAAGCATACAGCCTGGCGTTGGTCAGTCCTACGCTGTGAGGAATCTTCAGCAGATTTGATCGGCCTGCTGTTTCGTGTGAACAAAAACACTGTTGTAGGCGATATTAAATATTTTGATTTCTTTTAGTCTTCGACGATGATATTTCCCTTCCTCTCGCTTGTGAACTATAGAAAGGTTCATATGGTCTGTAACAGTGCAGCCGAGTGCTGCCAACTGCAATGCAGGTGGGCAGAAGACAATTGTAACAGTGCAGCAGCACGGCGCCAAGAACAGTGCAGGTGGGCGGAAGTCAAGCGCCACCTCACCTGCAGTTCGGATTGGTCGAACGCCCCAACCTGCAGCTGGGCGACCAGATTCCGACACGCAGCCCAAGTCAATCCCACGCACGAAAATTACAAAACGCAGGACTCCGAAGTTCCGACCGCTCGCCGACTTCGCCAACAACACCGACGAAATTACAGCCCCGTAACCAAGCTCGCCGTCCAATCCCGTACCGCAATAATTCTCTGAATTTCACGGCAGGTTCATTTCAAAGGGTTGGGTTACCATTGAGAAATTCAGAGAGAGTCGCGACTTGGGAGTGCGACTCGATGTTTGAATGTGCTCTATAAAATTGTACTGTCAAATTTGTGAAGAGATAGTGCAAATTCCAGAGAACTCCAGAGAGCACTCTATCCTCGTTTTCCTAGCCTACTAAGGCTGCTACTTCCCTGCCCAGCAACGTTTCATGGTCACTGCGTTTAGGCGCTGCTCGCCGAGCTCCGTCGTTGCGCCTTAATGCCGCCAAACCAATTTCATTCACAGTGAATCTTCCCCCCGCCGGCATCCTTAGCCAAGCGTGACACCCCCTGTGGGCCCCGAATGTAGATCATTCCCTTGTCCTCTACGAATCCGGGGTGCTGCCAGGCATGGATCTGTGATCCCCGAGAGACAACATGACATTGCAGGGCGAGAGGGCTTGGGCGTGCCGTGAGCACGCGATTGTGAGGCCAAGCATTGCGCTGACGGATGTGGAGCCACGTGGTGGGTCGAAAAATGCTTGATCGGCTGTTGAATGATGACTGTACAGTCATGTGGCACCGCGACAGTGAAAGCGGCGCCGACAGGTCGTCTTTCGACAGGAACCGTCAATCGAAGTTCTGACGGAATTCTGTACCCTTTGGTATTAATGAGCGACGGTAGCATTGAATGCTACGCGCCGCACTTCCTGCGCTGCTCGCTTCCAGCCGTTCGTTTTAACTTGAGTCACTTCTTGCGAAGTTTCCGAAAGTGGCACGCCGTTGTGTGCAGCTGAAACTGGCAAGGCAGGGCTGCCTTAGGAGGGATGCTCTTATTAACTTATCGCAGATCATCGCTTCTCGCCGCCGCCATCATTCGGTTGTCTTAGTTGCACTTAGCTGAAGACTCTCAAGGTGACTGTCGAGTCTACTGCGGGGATTCTCACAACCCACTTGCTTTTGTCAGTTGCGATCACCGGCCCCATTGTTCTACGCGCGCTTCGGATTTCTGCTGCAGAAGCAAGATAAGAACCATTTGGAAGGCGGAAGAAAGCGACGAAAAGAAGTGTCTCGAGCTCTCAGCGACGACTCGTCGATGGATCTCTTCGCGCGTCTCCCCGACGATCTGCTGCGCTCGCGGTCCTCTCGCGCGTGGGCAGCGCGGCGCGTGACGTCACCCGGGCCGCGATGACGTGCCGACGGTGGAACGAAGTGACCCGAAACATGCCTGCGCTGTGCCTGAGAACGAGTGGCGATGGCGCGGCTGCAAACCAGGCGCCATTCTTGACATTTGAGGTGAGTTGCACAAAATTCCTTTGAAATCCGGGTTCTAAAGTAACTCTCTTAGCGATTTTCTTTTAGCCCACTCTCTTCTTTCTTACCCACCGCCATCCCAACCTCTTTTCGCTCTCCCCTCTTCCCTCGCGAATGATCCTCTGCAACTGAGTCCTGCGCGGAGAATACACCTTTTCCTCACCTTTTCCGCCCTCATCCCCTCTCCCCACTCCCACATCAGCGCCAGGCCTCGCGAATGATCCTCCGCACGCGCGCTCTGCGCCACCTCACTGTCATCTCGCCTCCCGCACCGCCTGCCAACGTTGGAGGGCCGTGCTGCCCCCCCAGCCAGACGCCGACAAGTGCTGGATGTCACAAACACTCAAGCGAACGTCCCAGTCCCACTGGCAGCGCACGTCCCAGTCAGCGCACTGACTGCGCTGCTGGCGCTTCTGCGCCGCTCCCCCCGCCCCATCCGCGGGAGTTCATCTTCGAGGCGTGGCGTCTCTGCACTCTCTCACGCTCTCCCGCGCAATTCCCGATGTTACTTCCCTGAAGCGCCCTCGAGGCGGTTGCGCCAGCAGCACCAGCGGTGGCAACAGCAGAGGCGGCGACGGCGACGGGAGCATGGTGGTGAACCTGTGGGAGGAGGAGGACGCGAGTCTGCATCTCGCGCACATCTCCCGCCACTGCACCAACCTGCGCTCGCTCTCATTGGGCCACGTGTCCCTCTCCGCGCCGACCCTTCTCTCCACCCTCAAGCCCATGCCGGCCCTGCAGCACCTCTCTCTCTCGTGGCTTCATGCATCTCCTGCCGCGCTTCAAGCCGTGCTGGAAGCAACTCCGAACCTCCGCCAGCTCACAATTTTCATGGCGTCGGGTTTCCCTCACCTAGAACTGCGGCTTCCCTCGTCCCTGCAGCATCTATCACTCTCCTACATTCGTGCGGACTCCGTAACGCTTTACTCCGCGTGCTCTCTCCAATTTGTCTCTCACCGCGACATGTTTCTCGGCGCACTATCCATCCGTGACGCGCCGAACCTGCGCCAACTCTCCGTTGCCTCTGCCAACAGCCTGCTCGTCTCCGCGCCTCACTCCAGCCGGCTCGAATCGATCGACCTCCGCGCGGGCTCGCTCAACTGGCCTGCCACCGAAACCCTGATTTCGTCCAATTCGGCTGCGCTCGAGTCTCTCTCCCTCGATTTTTTTGCCACCAGCAGCTCGGGCCTGCCCTCGGTTTCGTTGCTGTCCTGGCTCACACGGAACTGCCCGGGGTTGAAAACTTTTCGACTGGGTGCGCTGGCTTGGCAGCATATGGTTGACTCGGCTGTGGTGTCGGGTCTTCTACAGTCACCAGGAGAAAGTGAAGCATGTGGTACACATAATGATGGCTGTTTGTGGCCTCGGCTAGAAGTGCTTACAGTGAGAATTGCGGAGAAGACACCCGAAGGCCTGCTTCTGCTTCATTCCATTCTCTGTAACATCCCCACACTGACTGGCCTTCATGTGACTGTAGAGGGGGAGGACGACGAGGAAGAGGATGAATCGGAGTATGATGGAGATAGTGATGCTACTGACACCAATGAGGATGAGGAAGATGAGGAGGGATACCACATTCACAGGGAGACTAACTACTACTCACACTCTTCCGCCCAACATTCTGTCGCACGCGCCTTTTCTGGTATAACTGAGCCTAACTCTGCACTGGGCAGATTCTCTCAGCCTGTGGGCTACTGCTTTGCACTGACAGCAGCAGAGAGACAGCACCAGCTGTTTTTGAAGGGCCTGGACTGCCTCCAAAGGCGGTTTGGATGTTTCTACGTAACCTCCCCGCTGCTTCAAAGGAGGAAGACCTACTGAGGCTGATAAGAGCTGGTGGCAACCCTTCTGTGAATTTGATGTATTCTAAACCCTACCGTATCATAGTAGAACCTGTTTAGAGCTGGTTGGCATATGGTTCTCCAATCAATGCTGGACTGGATAGAATGAGGTACAAGCATTTAAAACTTGGCTGGTTATGCACGTCCGTGATTCGTTTCAATAGAAAGCTACCCTAGCTCGTTACAGGTTTTGGGTTCTCCAACCAGTCACGGAGGCCAACCAAGTGGTAACCCGACCAAGTGTAAAGCGGAGAAAAATATGAGACGCGAGCTTTCAAACAAACTTCTGCCCTGGACGCGAAGCACAGTGAGTCACTTTATACCGAGGTGACAAAATATCCCCAACGCTGCTGACGCGTTGGTCGGGTACAGTATTTTCAATTACTGTACTGTCAACCGTTAAGTTTTTTTCGGGATCCATTCCATTCCAAGAGGCACTTTCCGCATTCCACGGCGCACAATTCCAGCAAATACTGTTTACTCCCCACTAAATTACTCTGCGATTCGACGCCACTCGCATCATCAAAACTGCGTGCTGTAGAATTTTCTTCTTCACTCATCTCCACTCCATGGCCAATAAAAAACGTTCAGACATGGTGGTCCCAAAAGGCCTGCCGTTTGGTTTAAGTCAGGCTTGGTAACATCGTACAGGTATCACTCGATGGACTTGGGCCCAATTTCTAAAAGTGAGTTCGCCACCAACTTCCTTCGTGTCGACCTTCAAACAGGCTACCAGGTCGTCTTTGCTATTCTATAGGCAGTTCCCAAGCAATGGCAGAATGAAATCCTTGCCCCTTCCCTTGCCGTTGCCTCTCTAGGGGACTTGTCGGCGGTCCACACTTAAGGTCATTGGGTGGCTGGTCCGCAGCATACAGGTGCAGGGCTTGGCGCGCGGTTGGAGGTTCTTCGTGATGGCGTCCCAAGCATAACTACTATTCAACAACTACTATATACGCGATGGCCGCTCGACCACGACACCTATTGGACTCACGCCCTTTCCTCCCCCTTACCCACTCCTCGCCCCGACCTCTCCCACGACTTTCTTCGCGAACAGCCCAGCCTGCAACACGATCTATTCTTCCGACTATATACTCGATCTCTCCCTTCAGGCTCCCGATTCCTGTTCTCAATAGATAGGGCCCGATGCTCGCGCTGCCAGTCCCATGACATCGAGACTATTTCTCACATCTTTTTCACCTGTGGAGCGGCCCCCACTTTGACGGGTGCTCTGGTATCCGTTGCGCGACGCCACTTGGGCTGCAGCCCTCAGACCGAACACATCTTCTTTCCGCTTCCTTCTCGATCTGGCCAGGGTGCCCCATGGAGCCTACTGGTCAGTGCTGCTGCTAAGGCCCTCTAGAACGCCCGCAGTGCTCAGAGATCCAACAACGTTGTTACCCCAGTGCTCAGAGATCCAACAACGTTGTTACCCCCCGCTTTGAGATCATGCAACTAATCATCGCGCTGTTTCTCTTAGCCTTCAAAATATTCTCTTGGAGACGCTCTAAAGAATCTGCCAAGAAACAACAAAAAGCAGTGTCTCGCATCCAGGCGGTTGGCCGGCTACGATTCATATCTTTTGCTGTTCATGGTTCCCCCACAATCCATCCGGACCTACGCACCTCTTGGCTACTTGGAAACCCCTTTCGTCCGCCCTAACTTGTTACTCGGTTCGTCACAGAATACTCCCCAGCAAGGCTGGTGGCTGTCTGCTAGGATAGGAGAATAACGTGTTCAATCACGTACGCCGAATGGTCGTTGGCTTGCTTAGCCGTATTCTCAGTTATTCTGTGTTTTGTATGTAACTAATTACAATCTTAATATATTCCTGTTCCTATTCATCTCCACTCCATGGCGAATTAATCGACTTGAACGAAATGTGACTCGGGGCAGAATCCTCCGGCATACTATGTTTACATACAACCTGACCCAACCCAAGCCATTCAGCACCAATACTATTGGGCTAGCACTTCAGCGCCAACTCCATTGGACTTTCACGAGTTGTATTGTCGGGATCAAATTAACAAAGAGGTATGAAGGTCGGAGTCTGGAGTGGGCTTGTAAGGGGTACGTTTGGGTATGGGTCGGATGGTGTGTTGTCCGTTGCTTCTGCATCCTCTGCCAGGTCTGCCTCATCCTGTGACGTGGCGAAGCTGCGGTGCCCTTCGAAAACCCTTTCTGGTGTCTTGTTAGCTTCGCGATCTTCCTTGAATAGTGGCAGAGTCAGCTTCTCGTAGAAGATGTAGTCACGTAAATTCGTCATTTCGTGAGTCGCGAAGTCCAGCACGATCCACGTCTTGTATCCTTCTTTTATCCGGATGTGCATGCCCTAGCGTGCCCGATCAGCAAATTTCCCAGTCCTTGCTCTGTGTGGTCTGTACTGTACCATGCAGCCGAATACTCAAAGAAGACGCGTGCCTGCTTTTCTGCCCGTCCAAGCCTTGTAAAGAGAAGTGTTGTTCTCGAGGCTTCGGGAGGACAGCAAGTTGTGCAGCCGGACAGCGTGATTCATCGCAAACGGCCAATATTTGGTTGGGATGGCCGACTACTTCATCACGGCCCTCATTCTTGTGGCAAGGCTCCTGTTTGTCCATTCTGCTACTCCTTGCTGCTCGTGAGCGTAGGGTGTCAAACTATGATAATGCTTGTGCTGTGTAGGCTATAGTGGGGTAGCCCATAAGGGGTACAACCTAAATTAGGGTTAGCATATGTACCCACATCTCTGTTCAATGCACTCATTCCTGCTGCTAGATTCTAACATGGTTTCAGAGCACTAGATCCGTAGGATCGTTTTTTTTTCGGGCCCACCTACCGTTGCGGTTACCACGCTACCCCACGTGCGCCTGCCTACCTGCCTGCCTCGCCTTGTGACGTGCTGCGCTGCGCGCGCCGTCCTGCAGCCCTCGAGCTGCCTATTGCTGCCCTAGGCCAGTGCGCCGTCCCTGCAGGCCCGTACGACCCGCGAGCCGCCCTTGCAAGCCCGCCAGGCCGGCTAGCCGTCCCCGCAGGCCCGTCAGGCTCGCGAGCCGCCCTTGCAGGCCCGTCAGGCCAGAGCGCCGCCCCTGCAGGCCCGTCAGGCCTTCTAGCCGCCCCTGCAGGCCCGTCCGGCCCGCTAGCCACCCCTACAGGCCCGTCAGGCCCGCTAGCCGCCCTTGCAGGCCTGTCAGGCCCGCTAACCGCCCCTGCAGGCCCGTCAGGCCAGCGAGCCGCCCCTGCAGGCCCGTCAGGCCAGGTCGCTTCCCCACGCGACGCGCCCGCTGCCCGCGCATCGCACTGCAGCCCTGCGCGTCGCGTGCGCAGCTCGCGCGTCGCACTGAAGCCCCGCGTGTCGCATCCGCTGCCCGCACGTCGCGCTGCAGCCCTGCGCGTCGCGCCCGCTGCCTGCGCGTCGCGCTGCAGCCCCGCGCATCGCGTTCGCTGCCCGCGCGTCGCGCTACAGCCCCGCGTGCCGCGTTTAGGGTTTAGCGCGTCGCGCTGCAGCCCCGTGCGCCGCGCCCGCAGCTCGCGCAGCGCGCTGCAGCCTCGCGCGCCGCGGCTGCCCGTGTTCCTCGCGGCTGCCGATGGACGCCGTCCCTACCTGACTGCCACCGTTGCTCCTGCAGCAACTGCCACGGAGCGCCCTACTACAGTCGTGGCCCTGCCCTGCAGCAGCTGCTGCAGAGCCTCCTGCTGCCGTCGCGGCCCTGCCCTGCAGCAGCTGCCGCGGAGCCTTCTGCCGCAGCCGCGGCCCCACCCTGCAGCAGCTGCCGCGGAGCCTCCTGCTGCTGTCGCGGCCCCGCCCTGCAACAGCTGCCGCGGAGCCTTCTTCCGCCGTTGCGGCCCCGCCCTGCAGCTGTCATGGCCCCGCTCTGCAGCAGCTGTCGCGGACCTGCCCTACCGCCGACGCGGCCCTACTCTGCGGCCGCTGTTGCGGCCCTGCCAAGCGCCGGCCTTGCTTGCCACTGGTGAGCACCTACCTTGTTCGTGCGATGCCGCCTGCCTGCCTGCCGCGCCTGCCCTGCACGCGCTGCTGCTGCTATTACTGCTATTGGTACTGCTACTACTACTGCTGCTACTGACAGTGGCCAGATGCAGCTCCAGCGACATCCGCGTGAATCCCTCACGCCCCAGCAGCTTAGTGAGTGGTACGCTAGTTGGGGTTGTAGGGGTGGCTGCACTACTACTGCTGCTTCTGCTGCTACTGTTGTTACTACTGCTACTGCTGCTACTACTACTGCTGCTGCTACTGGCGGTGGCCAGATGCAGCTCCAGCAACGTCCGCGCGAGTCTTGCACGCCCCAGTAGCTTCGTGAGTGGTACGCTCAGAGTAGAGGGTATCTGAGTACCGTTCGCTGCCCGTACGTCATTCGCACTGGTGCTCGGACTGGGCAGGCTTGCGGGACGCTCAGTCACACACAGTCCCGCTGCTTCACCCGTATAAGCGACGCCTGGCGTACCGAGTTTGGCGATGAGGCTGAGCTCCCCGACTGCGTGGAGCTGCTTGGGCAGAGGGTAGATATATTTGCTCTTGACTATGATGCTATTCTCACTACCATGTATGCATTGCCTACTAGTGCTGATCGTGCTTGTTACCTGTGCGTACCGCCTGACCCAGGTATAGAGCCTGCTGCTCTAGGTGCTGGTGAGGCTGCTGCTCTAGGGGCTAGTGTGTCTCCTGCTCTAGGAACTGGTGAGGGTGCTGCTCCAGGTGCTGGTGAGTCTGCTCTCTCTGGTGCTGCGCATGCTCAGGCCTTGTACACCTTCACACTTGACTCTGGTGCTTCTCGCTCCTTCTTTCGCGACAGCACCACCCTCACGCCGCTCAGTCGGTCGGTTCCAGTCTCTCTGGCAGACCCCTCTGGGGGTCTAGTCCGTGCGACCTCCTCCACTGTCCTCCCTTGTCCTGCTGTCCCGTCCGGCATACTGTCGGGTCTTTACCTCCCCTCATTCTCTACGAACTTGGTGGCGGGTTCTGCGCTCCAGGACGCCGGTGTTCACCAG